ATAGCAATTTTTCGCAAAAAAACCAATTTTTCAGAAAAAAACCGAAATTTTTCAGGTTTTTTTCCAGCAACTTGAAAAAAGCAGTTTTTTTTAAACTATTTGACATCATCCTCAGAGTCAGACAGGATGAAAGTTTTCTTTGTTTTTTGTACGACCTGTACAATTTAATTATCTAAATTGACATTATTGCAAGTAGTAAAGAAAATTATAAAAATAGCATAGAACCATGACAATATCGACAAGATATCATTCATTTGCTACAACAATAACACAACTTACAATTTTTCACAAATTTTCAATTATTTAAATTTTATAATAAAAATTTTGAAATGTAATTTTGGTGTAATAACTGATTAAACCTCTACAAAAATATCTTCTTTTGGAAGCATTCACATTAGAAGAGAAAAAGCAGAATGTGAAAAACAGAATTGCTGCTTCTTGATTTCTGTCATTCTACTGATTCACACTTATTATTATTATTATTATTATTATTATGTATTATTATAATGAGAGATATAACTTTCTTCACTTTTTTAAATCTCCATTCAAACATTTTTACAGAATCATGGAACTATTGTGGCAACTACCAGTGCAATTTGTAATTGCTTTTAACAAATTCTGCTTTTTCGTTCCTAATTTGAATACTCCCTTAAAACAGAAGTTGTTTTCTTTTTTTTCCTTTATATTTCTATTCCTCTTCTACAAGCAACTTAAGAATGACTTTTTTACTTATGTCCTTAATAAGCGATAATAACATAGATGACAAGGGATAAAACACCTTGGAGCATTTCGTGGATGACTTCGGTTTCTCCTCATCCTCATCTGACAAAATGCAAGTGGCACGCCGCTTCTGCAGGGGCTTCGGGGCAACAACGGGCTCGCTCTTGTCCTTCTGAGAAGTCGCGAACGGCATGAAGTAGGATCTGATGTCCTACGGAAACAAATCAAGTGCGTAAGATTCTCTTCCGAGTCTGCGATCCACTTGACGCTACAAATGCTTTGAGGCATTTGATTGACCAATCGAAAAATGTTCCGAAGCATTTGCAGCATCAGGCGGATTGTAGCCTCGAGAGGAAAATTAAAATAAAAGCAACGCAATTAACCTAACAGCACCGGCTGTACATAACATACCCGCGGCATTGTCGCAGTATTTCAGCTCGATATTCGGTTCGCAATTGTATACCGCTCGCAACTCGCAACTGTTACGCCGGCATAAGCAGGCATAAGGGTGCGTTCCACTTAACGCTCACTGCAATTGCGCGGCCATATTGGATTCGTGACGTCAGAAGCGAGAAACAACGAGAAATGACACGTAAAAGCAATAAAAGTTTGTTGCGTGCCATTTTTAAATTCAAAAAAATTTTTAAAGTCAAACAAAAGGATTTGAATAAAATTAATAAATAGGATCGCTTTAGAAAACTTGTAAAAATGGATGGAAACTATATCCTTTTCCCCCTTGAAAGTCAGTAAATAGCTAGTCGTAAAAGGCACGTAAAGTGAAGTTTAAATTCAAGCAAGAAAACTTACGATTTGACAGCTGTTGAAAGGAACGGAAAAGATACTTTTACGTATAAAATTCGACTATAACTATATAGTTTCCATCCATTTTTACGACTTTGATAAATACGAGACAAGTCACATTTTCACAATTAAG